GGGCTCACCAGCCTTCCCTCTTGTTGGTGTGGTCTGCTGCCCCCACCTCGCCCCACCCCCCTTTTGCTCCTTGACCCCCAGACCAAATCCTGGCAGATTTCTTCTTATGACTCAAAATCCTGACATTTAAAGGAACCATACTTCTTTATGGTTTTTCCAGGGGATATAGGAATAAACCACGCACTCCATAAATGAGGCCCAGATGGAGTTCCTTGCAAAATGTAATCAAACTGCCCTGAGACTGGGTGGCAGCCTCCACACAGCTGAGGCTAAGGTGGGGTCATTAAGTACCTAAGGGGTCTTTAAAAGATCCGCAGCTGGTGTTCTCCAGCATCTCCAGCACGGCTCCTCCACTCCGAGGCGGGGTTCCTGCTCCTGTCCGCGGCACCACGTAGTGCCCGTATGTGCTGGGCCCAGGTCCACCACAAGCCAGGCAGGCCGTGACCTCACTGAGCTGTGTCTGGCAACAAATAGGGCCACAGAAGCAACTAGGAAAGAGGAGGCTCTGGGTGTAATTTCATGGGGGTGGGGGAGAGAAGCCCCCAGGCAGCGGGCAGTGTGCTGTGCCCTCATTCCTGATGCTGGTCTGTCCGCACCTCCGACGGAGGTGGAGCCGGAAGATTCTCGAGGAAGGTGATCACCTGACGTTGCAGAATCCGGGCCTGGCCGGGTAGGGGCTGACTTTGTGTCACCCTCTCCCCTCCCACTTGTTCTCCTGGCCCGTCCAGAGGCAGCAGGTGGTTCTGACGGAGCACTGGGCCCGAGCGCACCCGGCCATCCACTTCTCCTGCATGCATCCTGGCTGGGCCGACACCCCAGGTAGGTCGTAGCCTTTAATTTCCTTGCCGCCTGCATTTCATCTAAAAATATCTGGGCAGCCGCAGGACTGACTCTCCCCAGGAATGACCTGAAACCTGTGTCACGAGGACTAGGGATTCGCTCCCACGTGAGGGGCAGGCCGGGGCTGGAGGGGGAGAAGCCTGGTCCCACAGGCGGTCGTCTTGTCGGTTTGCCGTGTGTGGCCGAGGGAGGGGGCAGTGCGGGTGGGGGGCCTGGGGGCCTCCCTCGGGAGTGGGATCTGATCCACACAGGCATTCCCACGTGAGAGGAATGAACGAGGGCCCAGGGAAGTCGCAGGGAGGCGCTGGGGACATGGGGATAGGCTACCTCACCACTCCCCAGGTTTCTGGATGTGAACGCACAAAGGCAAATAATCCCTAAAGGGTGGAATTCTCTGGAAGCGTGTTGGAACAGCAGGGCAGGAGAGGAGCGCTCCTTTCGGGCACTGCCCATCCCAGCTCTGTGAGCCCAGGCAGATCACTTGGGCTCTGAGCCCTTTCCTCCTCCCCCAGCAAGGAAACTGAAAACAGAGCGTCCGCAGGACACCCGAGTGCCCGGGGCTGCTCTCAGGCTGTGTGGACACTGAGGCGCTTGTCCTCACAGCCCCCGTGCAGTGGGCACTGCTATCACCCCCAGTTACAGGTGGAGACACGGAGGCACACAGAGGCAAGGGCTTCCCTGTGGGGCCGGGCCACAGCGTTTTGGGGAGCAGGTGCTCTCATACACTTGCCATCACCTTTCTGAAAGCCGGTTTATTAGAAGCCTTAACATTTGTAATACACACCCTTGGAATTCATCCTAAGAAATCATGAGAGATGTGGAGATGAGGTTGCTCATCACAGCACCGGTGCTGGGTGAGTTAATAGATTATGGAACACCTGCACGAGGAATCTGCTCAGCCCTGAAAACTCTGCTGAGGATACACGTCTATGGGAAAGGAAAACTGCACTGTCATTAAATGAAGATATCAGGCCCCAAGTCGTATGTGCCTCACGGTCTTAGTTTTGATACACCCACATCGCCACGGAGAAAGGTGTATGTTGGTGCTACGCAGCATCCCAGGAGACCTGGCAGGGAGACCTGGCCCAGACCAGTCCTCTGCGGCCCGGATCCGGGGATGTCTGGCAGCCTCCCGTTGTAAAGCAAAGGGGGTGTCCTCAGCCCAGCACCCCAGGAGGGACTCAGGCCAGGGCTGTTGGAAGAGGATGGCGTCTCACTTCTTGTCACTTCCTGACAGGAGACCATGTAGCTCCTTCAGGCCGTGGAGAGCTGCCAGCCTCCCATCTTCCCGGGTACCTCACCCCGACAGCTCGCACAGCAGCCTGTGTGCTGGCAGAATCCGTGCTAGCAAGCCCGCCACCCGGATCTGCCATCCGCTGTCCCAGGTCACAGGGCAACGGCTGGGCAGCTCGGGTGCAGACGGCCTGCCTGTGGACACAGAGGCCCGAGGGAGGGCTGTGCAGGGCCTGAGCTAGGGGACACTTGTCCTCCCTGAGTGGTACCACTCAGGTTCAAATTCCTTCTTTTTGCTGGTCAGTGTTTCCCAATTTTTCCCACAGTAAGCACGTATTGCTTCTGTACAAAGAAAAAAATCAAACCTTTATTTCTAATTTACAAAACAAGGGCCTAGATTAGATGATCCTTTCTATCTCTGAAATCCTCTGATCTCATCACTGCTCTCAAATGTTGTTTGTCTGCTTCCTTTTCTTTCCTTGGCTTCACGAGAGAACAGTTTTGTTTCCCAATGTGCTCACTGTAGAGACAGTGTGTTCCCCAAGGTCTGTGGGCAAACGGGGGTGTAGCCTGCAGCCAGCGCTGGGCTGCCTGCGGTGAAGAGGGGGGCTGGGGAGGCGACACCAGCAGAGGGACCTCTGTGTAGCCGGGACTTGCAGTGCTGAGGGAGGTGACGCAGGGGAGCTTGGCAGGAAGTAAAAAGTTCCCTAAAAAGTAAAAAACACAAGTGCAGTCCAAGGACCCATCCGTCAGCCAGGATCCTGGGAGAGGTGGCTCACCTTGGAGGCGGGAGTCTGGTCCTCCCGGCCTCAGTGCAGCCAATACCGCATTTCTTAGGATAGAAAGGGGGGAGGTGTGGGTGATTTTGCTCCCAGGGAACGGGCTGGTTGGGGTCCCCCGGGCCCCAACACGCTCTGGGGCTCTGGTGAGCAGCACGTTCCTCCCAGGCTGCAGAGGGCTTTGTAACAAGGCTGAGATCTGAACAGGTGAGATAAAGCCTGTTGTGCAGTGGAAAGAGGGCAGTCTGTGATCCTGTTCCATTTTATCATGGTTATTTTGGTGATGAAAGAAGCCAGCCACACACGGTCTCCTCAGTCGAGGACGCTGACCTAACCACCTCGTCTGTGTCCCCTCCCTCCTCGCAGGCGTGCGGCTCTCCATGCCAGGGTTCCACGCCAGCATGGGGGACAGGCTGCGCTCTGCGGCCCAGGGCGCGGACACCGTGCTGTGGCTGGCCCTCGCCCCCGCCGCCACCGCGCAGCCCAGCGGCCTCTTCTTCCAAGGTGACTTCCTCCCCGGGTGTGAAGGTGCCCAGGACCCTCCTTCCCCAGACCACCCTCCTCTCCATGAAACTCGGGTGAGGGTGGGGCTGTGATTGTGCCAGAGGACGGCTCATTTGCCTGTTGGGGTTAGTTTTGTGAAGGGCTTTGCACCCCCTGCTCTTTCCATCTACCTTTCTGAACTCAGTGGGTCCTTTGAGGATGAAGTCCTCGGACTGTGATCCCTGTCCTCAGCATTTGGGCAAGACCAGGCCCCATGGCGTCTGGAGAAGGGAGCTCCTTCTCTGCCCCCTGGGGGTGGCAGAGGTCCAAAGCAGCGGTGTGGAGTCGGTGACTCAACTTTTCTGTTTCAGGAGACAGTTACCTGTTAAGGTTGTGTTTCTACCTGGGCAGGGTCCCGGGGGCAAGTGCTCAGGGAGGAAGCAGGCTGAGGGAAGACAGTCAAAGAGAACATGTGACCTTGGGTGGAGGCTAGGGTCTTCGCGATGGCTCTTTCCCCATCGTGGATGTGGTCACTTTTGCGTGAGCCACTATGAAGCTCTGGTGACCCTGTGGCAGCCCGAATCTTCTCCTCTGGCTACCAGCTGCCAGTTCCCAAACACAACACACTCCCCAGTCCCCCAACCCCACCCAGCCAGCACCTAGGCCTGAGGACCTTCCCCCCAGCCACCTGGAGTCCTGTTGAAACTCAGCTTGACACCTGTCCACCCTGACTTGGTCTCCCTTCTTCTTTTTTTAATTGACGTATAGTCAGTTTATAATGTGTCAATTTCAGGTGTACAGCATAATGTTTCAGTCATACATATACATACATATATTCCTTTTCATATTTTTTTCATTACAGGTTACTACAAGATCTTGAATATAGTTCTCTGTGCTCTACAGTAGGTCCTTGTTGTTGATCTATTTTATATATAGTAGTTAGGATCTGCAAATCTCGAACTCCCAATTTATCCCCTCCTATGCCCTGCCCCCTACCCTGGTAACTATAAGTTTGTTTTCTATGTCTGTGAGTCTGCTTCTGTTTTGTAAATAAAGTTCATTTGTATCTTTTTTTAAGATTCCACATATAAGTGATACCATACAGTATTTTTCTTTCTCTTTCTGGCTTACTTCACTTAGAATGACAATATCCAGTCCCATCCATGTTGCTGCAAATGACATTATTTTATTCTTTTTTATGCCTGAGTAGTATTCCAGTGTATATATTTACCACCACTTTATCCAGTCATCTGTTGATGGACATTCAGGTTGTTTCCATGTCTTGGCTATTAATAGTGATGCTATGAAAATTGGCATGCATGTATCTTTTTGAATTACAGTTCCCTCCACTTACATGCTCAGGAGTGGGATTGCTGGGTCATAGGGTAAATCTATTTTTAGTTTTTTGAGGAATCTCCATACTGTTTTCTATAAAGGCTGCACCAAACTGCATCCCCACCAACAGCATAGGAAGGTTCCCTTTTCTCCACACCCTCTCCAGCAGTTATTGTTTGTGGACTTTCGAATGATGACCATTCTGACTGGTGTGAGGTGATAGCTCATCGTAGTTTTGATTTGCATTTCTCTGATAATTAGCGAGATACTGAGCATTTTTTCATGTGCCTGTTGGCCATTTGTATGTCTTCATTGGAGAATTGCTTGTTTAGGTTTTCTGCCCAGTTTTGGATTGGGTTGTTTGGTTTTTTTGTTAAGTTGTGTGAGCTGTTTATATATTCTGGAAATTAAGCCCTTGTCAGTCTCATCACTTGCAAATATTTTCTCCCATTCCATAGGCTGTCTTTTGGTTTTGCTTATGGTTTCCTTTGCTGTGCAAAAACTTACAAGTTTAATTAGATCCCATTTGTTTATTTTTGCTCTTATTTCTATTGCCTGGGTAGACTGGCCTAGGAGAACATTGCTAAGATTTATGTCGGAAAATGTTTTGCCAATGTTTTCTTCTAGGAGGTTTACAGTGTCATGTCTTATGTTTAAGTCTTTAAGCCATTTGAGTTTATTTTTGTGTATGGTGTGAGGGAGTATTCTAACTTCACTGATTTACATGCTGCTGTCCAGTTTCCCAACACCACTTGCTGAAGAGGCTGTCTTTTCTCCATTGTATCCTCTTGCCTCCTTTGTATCCTCTTGCCTCCTTTGTAGAAGATTAATTGACTATAAGTCTGTGAGTTTATTTCTGGGCTCTCTGTTCTGTTCCATTGATCCAGATGTCTGTTTCTGTGCCAATACCGTACTATTATGATTACTGTAGCTCTGGTATTGCCTGAAGTCTGGGAGGGTTATTCCTCCAGCTTCATTTTTTTTTTTCAGTATTGCTTTCGAAGTTCTGGGTCTTCTGTGATTCCACATAAATTTTAGGATTAATTGTTCTAGTTTTGTGAACAATATCCTGGGTAACTTGATAGGGATTTGCATTATGTCTGTAGATTGCCTTGGGCAGTATGGCCATTTTAACAATATTAATTCTTCCAATCCAAGAGCATGGGATAACCTTCCATTTCTTTAAGTAATATTTAATTTTCTTAATCAATGTTTTGTAGTTCTCTGTGTATAAGTCTTTCACCTCCTTGGTCAGATTTATTCCTTAGTATTTTATTTTTTGGATGTGATTTTAGAGGATTGTTTCTTTACTTTCTTTTTCTGCTCTTTCATTGTTAGTGTAAAGAAATGCACTGATTCCTTTATGTTAATCTTGCATCCTGCTACCTTGCCTAATTTTTTTATTAGCTCTAATAATTTTTATGTGGAGCCTTTAGGGTTTTATATATACAGTATCATGTCATCCACAAATGGTGATAATTTTACCTCTTCTCTTCCAATTTGGATCCCTCTTCCGCGCCCCCCCCCGATTTATATGGCTAGGACTTCCAATACTATGTTGAACAGAAGTGGGGAGAGTGGGCATCCTTGTCTTGTTCCAGATTTTGGTGGGAAGGCTTTCAACTTTTCACCATTGAGTATTACCCTGTTTTGTTTTGTTTATTAACATTTTTTATTGATTTATATTCATTTTACAATGTTGTGTCAAATTCCAGTGTAGAGCACAATTTTTCAGTTACACTTGAACATATATATATATATTCATTGTCACATTCCTTTCTCTGAGCTACCATAAGATCTTATATATATTTCCCTGTGCTATACAGTATAATCTTGTTTATCTATTCTACAATTTTGAAATCCCAGTCTATCTCTTCCCACCCCCCACCCCCTTGGCAACCACAAGTCTGTATTCTATGTCTATGAGTCTATTTCTGGTCTGTATTTATGCTTTGTTTGTTTGTTTTTAGATTCCACATATGAGCAATCTCATATGGTATTTTTCTTTCTCTTTCTGGCTTACTTCACTTAGAATGACCTTCTCCAGAAGCATCCATGTTGCTGTAAATGGTGTTATTTTGTTGGTTTTTATGGCTGAGTAGTATTCCATTGTATAAATATACCACCTCTTCTTTATCCAGTCATCTGTTGACGGACATTTAGGCTGTTTCCATGTCTTGGCGATTGTAAATAATGCTGCTGTGAACATTGGGGTGCAGGTGTCATCCTGAAGTAGGGTTCCTTCTGGATATATGCCCAGGAGCGGGATGACTGGGTCATATGGTAAGTCTATTCCTAGTCTTTTGAGGAATCTCCATACTGTTTTCCACAGTGGCTGCACCAAACTGCATTCCCACCAGCAGTGAAGGAGGGTTCCCTTTTCTCCACAGCCTCTCCAGCATTTGTCATAGTATTACCCTGTTTTTTAAGTACGTTAGCTTGCTTTAGATTGGTAGTCATATAGGCTCAAACACATCCTAAGAAGAATGAAAAGAAAATCTACATTTTCTTGCTCCCCTCTCCCACCTTTTATGATTTTGATACCCTCTTTTACACTTTCATGTTTATTCTCATGCAGTTCATTGTAGTCATCACATTTCCAGTTATGGTTTTCTCTTTTCTATAGCTTCCTGCTTCTTTTCTATTTAGAGAAGGCCTTTCAATATTTTAGGACAGGCTTTAGTATTGCTGAATTTTCAGTGTTTGCTTATCTGTGAAAGTCTCTCTCTCCTTCTATTCTAAAGGATAGTTTTGCTGGGTAGAGTATCCTATGTTGCAGCTTTTTCTCATTCAGGACTTTGAATATATCTTGCCACTCCCTTCTGGCCAGCAGTGTGCGTGTAGAGAGATCAGCTGAAAGCCTTATAGGGGTTCCCGTGTAACTAACTCTTTGTTTTTCTCTTGCTGCCTTTAGAATCTTTCATCTTTGACTTTGGCGATCTTAATTATGTCTTTGTGTAGATCTGTTTGTGTTCATCTTGTTTGGGACCCTCTGTGCTTCCTGTACTTGGATATCTGTTTCCTTCTTTAGGTTTGGGAAGTCTTCAGTCAAGATTTCGTCAAATACGGCAGCTACGGCCTGGCCGTGTTGCCCCCCACCCCCTCCGCGTGCACCAGCAGTGATGCTTTTTTTTTATGGGGCACCCAGCCTGTCCTGTTCTGCACACTCTCAGCCACAGCCTGCACTGCACTGCACTCCAGCCCCAAGGCCGCCTCTGTGCAGTCAGCCCCAGTCCTCTCCCTGGGCTCACTCTTAGAAGACTGAGCTCCAACAGCCAGTCCTGGCCCGCCCCCACGGGCTCATGTCTTGAGCTAGGGATTGCAGGGGACTTCTGTGTCAGTTCCTCTCAGTTCTGTGTGCCAAGTGGCTTCTGCTTTCTCCTCGGAGCCTCTGAAGCTCCCTTTCTGTCCCTGCTGACCTCCCTGCTGGGGATGGGGCTTTCCTCTTTTGCTGCTCCCTCCCCAGGGGACAGGTCCTGCACTGATTTCCTTTTTCTTTCTTTTTCTTACCTGTTTTTATGAGGATTCTTGTAGTACTGAAGTAAGAGATATTCTGCCAAAGTTCAGTAGGTATTCTGTGCGAATTGTTCTGTATGTGGATGTAGCTTTGGCTTACTCGTGGGAGAGGGTGAGCTCTGTGTCCTCCACTCTGCCATCTTGGCTATCTGGTCTCCCTTCTGTCACACCTCATTGTCCGTGTGGACCCATGAGGACAAGGACTGCATCTGACTCCCATGATGGGCCCCTCCCAGGCAAGTGTTGATGAAATGACGGGGCTGGGGCCTGCGCATCAGCCACAGAGGTCCATCCACGCTGCCGAGCTGCTCACATCTTTGTTTTCCTCTCTCACTTTTAGATCGGAAACCAGTGCCCACACACTTGCCTCTTGCTAGGACATCGTCCTCACCGGCTGAAGAGGAGAAATTAATTGAAATCCTGGAAGAGCTGGCTCAGAGATTTAAATAGGCCAGGCCAGACCCACCATGGGAAGGTGTGGACCAGAGGCCAGTGAGCAGACCCCACTTCTGCTTCCCCCCACGGCCCTGGAGGTTGGCTCATATTCCACTGTTGCACTTTGAGCTGGTTTCCCCTGCATCTACAGTCACAGAAATTAACCCCATTCCTTATAAAGCCCAGTCTTGAAGGCTTGATCCACCACCACCTCACCGTGGGACCACAGGTCGGGTTACTTACCCTCTGGGGCTTCATTTTCCCTGGCAGTAAAGAAGATTATAGTGGTGCGTACCTCATGGGGTGATTGTTACCTGATTGAGTTACTATTTGTAATGCACTTAGAAGAACGGTTGGTGCATCGTAAAGATTTGATATATGTTAGCTATTAACATCAGCACTTAGTAACTCACACCAAAAAAATCCCCCTAAAGATGACCCCCACCCCCTGTAGCAGGAAGGAACTCACACAGAACGGGGCTGGGAACAAGCAAATCATCACCTTCCTCAGCGGCTTCTTTTCCTATGTAAATCTTTTGAGAATGTGGTTTTCTTAGAGTCTGTTTAAGATTACCCCACACTTCTTTTTGGGAGAGAGAGGCAGGAGAGGGCTCTCTGCTGCCCTGGCCTGGCCCCCAGGCCCCTGGAGCAGAGCTGAACTAAGGCTCAGTGCCTGTTTACACAAACAGTCACGTGAGGCCTTGTTTGACATTTCTTAAGATTAGGCGTGGCTTCAGTTATGCACCTGGCATTCCGGTGCTACAGTCTGGTAAAACTTCTGTGTTAACCCCCGTTTTACCTCTTAGTGATGCTAGGGAAAGTTGTAACAAAATCAATGAACAGAGTTATTATTTACTTACATTCTTGATGTTCAAGGTGAAATATAACTCATCACCCATAGCGGCAGAAAACCCAGCTGGGCATGGCTCAGCCAGTCCCACGGTGCCAGGTCTCAGCAGGGCCTCAGGTGCTCCGATCCAGGCTCTCAGCCAACGAGGGGTTTTCCTGATGCATCTGCTGGGAAGGTCAGGGAGCAGCGGTGCCAGTGGACTGCATCTCTCCTCTCTGGAAGGAAAGCAGGGGCTTCTGGAGTTCTGGGGGTGTGTGTGGGTGGGGGCGTGCACCAGCACAGGCAGGTGGAAGGAAGGACATCACTGGGACGGTGGCCCTGGTGCGACCCAGCCGCCCCACCCACTGGCTGTTCGACAGTGTGCAGGTCATTGATTTCTTCCAGCTTCTCTTCTTATTCATAAAATGGGCCTCATAAATTTTTACAGAGGCTTTTTCCTGGCTGTATTTTCCCTGAGTCCTCTTTCTCTTCATTTGAAAAGTTTATCAGCCACAGTTAAAGCAGTCTTCCGTGACAAAGAGAAAATGAAAAGGACTACTCGGCCACACCCTATCTGCCGTGCCCTCGAGCCTAGTTAGCCAGCCAGGGTGAGACCAAGTCGGGGCTGCTGGGGTGCGTGTGGGCACGTGGTACAGCTCAACAACAAATTGATGGGACCACAGCTGCAGGAAGGTTTCCACAGACATTTATTTTAAACCAGGGCAGTAACTTGCATTGAGAGTCTCTGATATCAGTAATGGCAACGCGTATGTTTCAGTTAGAGGGAAGCACAGTGGGAAGCTGAGCAGAGCTCAGAAACATTCACAGCATCCAGCAGCATCTAAATGTAGACCTAGATCCAGACATTGTAACATGGTGGGAAGTGCTTGCTCGTTCCCACCTGATCACATTCAGGAAGTCAACGTCAACACTGCTTGGTCCGCCTGGTGGAATCTAGCGGCAGAGGGTGTGGCAAGGCCAGAGGGGTTTCGCTAGAACCACATCTGAGCAATCTGTTCCAGCTGTGGGCTTGTTAGAGCCTCAGCCTCAGCCTCACCCCTTGGAGAATCTCTCATTTCAAAAAGAAAGGAACAGACACCCATAAAGCAATGCGCCCGCTGCAGCCAGGTTCCGATGCGGCTGTGGAATGATGGGCGCGCAGGATGGAAGAGCCGTGTCCCTGGCACGGAGGCCGCGGCAGGCAGGCACGAGTGTGGGGCTAGCACCTCCCTGTTGTCCAGTTAGTAACAGTTTTTGCACTTTTCATACAAAGATTTTCTTTCGCAAAATGACAGTACGTTGGGGAAAAAAGGCAGATGGCGTAAAACACAAATACACAGGAATACAATGGTTATCAGCGACACCAGTATTTTGGTCCGTACATCATAGTGGTGTATGTTATTAACATAAGGCAGCCATCCACTTAAATGAAAAAAAAGTGTTTAAATGAAATACTTTTTTTCAAACCATTTCCCCTTTTTGTGTTAGTTTACCCTCTCATGCTCCCCAGAGAACCAAGGAGGAAAAAAGAAAGGACCCTAAATATCAAGGTCTTATCCCAAATCTAACCCATAAGTCAGCCCGCAGTTCTCTTTCTCGCCCCAGAAAGCCAGGCACACTTTTGGACTCACAAATGTGAACACTTTGAGGTGTCTGTTTTTAACGAGACGGTCCCATGATTGACCTCCACCTTCACCATCTTTTTCAAACCTCCAGGGCTCTAGACGGGAAAATACAGGAAGCAAGCAATTTACTTGATGTGACAGAAGACAAAGGCGTAGGGATCTGCTCCCATTTACCTGAGTTAAGCTGGCCACGTGCGGGCAGGTCACCGGTCAGGGTTGGGCCCGTCCAGTAACAAACAACAGTCATCAAGTCATAGGATCACGGACTGGAAGGAATCTTAAGAACAATCATCAAATTCAACTTTTCCTCAAGACTTTTACTCTCCTTTCCACAACAGACAAGGGGCTATGTACTGTCCAAAAATCCCCTGGCATGAGAAACGAAAGAGGAATCCCATTCCAGTGTTGGACAGATCTAATTTTAATCCCTGCTTTCTTGTGTTAGGCCTACATAGGATTGTCAGTGGAAAGGATAATGTTTAAAGGCAGAATTACAAACTAGAAACCCGAGGGTTGGTGTGTATATAGTTCTTGGTTGTAAAAGTTGAGCTAAGGTTTAAAAATGAACATGGGTGTTCCTGAATTAAGTTACGGACATATGATACCTGGACACCGAAAGGAAAAGGCAAGTGGATGGCATAGCAAGTACTAGAAAGTAGCCCGCAGCGGGGTGCTGGGACGCCCCTGCTCGGTAGAGCCAGGTCCCCGGGGTGGTGGCTGCCTGAAACCCTTTTTACTGTCAGTCACTGAATTGAGAAAAATGTTCCTGTCCACTCGGTGAGTGTTGAGGAGGATGAGGATTTATCACACTGACCTCACTGTACTGAAATGACCCATGACTTGCAAGAATGAATCAAGGCCGGGAGGGAAACGAGGGCGGTGGTGGCCTGCTTGTGCTGCGTGTGAGTGCAGTGTCACCCCTACAGGACAGTCTCCCCCGCCACAGGTCAAGGTCTGTCCTTTTCCAAAGGTCAAGCTGAGCCTGGCCCCCGTGTCCCAACAGAGTATGTCGTAAGCTCTTCCAGGCCAAGTCCGTGCAAGCGGTGGCCTCCAGTGAGGGGCTATGCCCCAACGAAGTTCAAAAGTTAGTCACCAGGGGTCATTTTAAGATAATAATTCCAGGTATTTCCAAAGAACAAGAAACTGGTAACTAGCCTCAGCTGTAGGACAATCTGACTCAAAATGATGGGCCTCCGGGTGAATGCCCGGGGGGACATGTGCTGCCTCCCTCTCTGGGGTCGTGAGCATCGGCGTCTCACGGCGACAGGAGCTCAGGCTCTGGGAGGCAGCTGCACACGTGGTACCCTCTGGCACCTCCAGATCACCATGGGCCCCGAGTACCAGGCTGAGGCCATTCTTGGGCCTTTGTTTACGCTGTTTCCACAGCCTGGAAGGTCATTTCCTTACTCCATCACTCCAACACATCCTTCAACACTCAGCTCGGAAGTCCTTTCCACTGCGAAGTCCCCTGGCTCCACCCGCTAGGGCAGGGGCACCCGTGCAGCTCCTGGGCAGGACCCCACGTGGCTTCCATCACTGAATTTATCACTTGACACGGAAACGCTCCATCTACTCATTAGTGTGGCCTCTGTCCCAGCCACAGATGGCCCTTGTGACCCCAGGGCCTGCTTCAAAGCCTGCTGCATGGTGGATGCCCAGCAAATGGTTGAACTGGATAGACTGAGAGCCTCAAGGGTCATCTAGATCCTGCAGTGCTCAGAACTTTGCTTCTGTGTTTCCCAGTCACAGCCCTATATATCCACTTGCACGTCAGGAAAAATGTAACTTAACATTATTTTAAAGGAGAAAGGGAAAAAAGAGCGTTTTGGCACAAAGCTTTCTTCCACTTTAAAATATAAGTCTTAGTGGACAAGGTCACTTACATACACAATTAAACTACTATGAAAAGGCAAAACCAAAGGAATCTCATTTAAGGAATATTTATGTCCAGTAACTCTGATACATAGTTGAGACCTAGACCCTTGCTTAAAAGTCAAAATTCAGGCTTTTGAAAACTGATTAATGTTAAGCAAAAATAAATTAGGCCTTTGAGAAATGAATCTCAAAACAGGAAAAGGCCATGTACCATAAGGGCAGTGAAGGGACTCACTCGGCCAGCCTGCACACAGAGGGGAAGGTGAGTTTCCAGGGCCCCTGGTTTGCACTGCAATTTTGCAGCTGGGGTGGTCTGTGGGGACGAGCGTGGGAAGGAGTTTATGCTGATGAAGACCTGCAATAACCACCTCGCTGCACGGACCCACCTGCTCGGAACCACAGGGTTGCGGCCAGAAGTATCAGATTCACCTTCAATGATCTATGGGTCAACAGACCTGGTTCCTGAGAGCCCCGTCTCAAGGCCGCAAGTCATTCCTCCCACTCATGCAGCTAATGTTCAAAAACAATTGTTCCTCGAAAATTCTTCTTTTAGATTCCTCTAGTTTATACCTCTGCTCTATCTACCTGCTTGGTGTGACTAAGGTGTTCTGTGCTTGGAACATTCTAATACTCAAAAGATCCCTTCCAGTTTTGTGATTTTTATGATTCTGTGAAAATTCACACAATTAAGTGAGAATACATCATGACAGACCTCAAGAGGTTGGCAGACCTCATAGAGAAAGACACAACTCCAAGGACTTGATCTAAAACAGCTTCTGCTACTGTGGGGACAAGGCAGGCAGGTAAAGGTTCCAGTAACATCATTTCTTTGGAGAAACTGAGAGCACATGATCAGTTTTATCCTCCCACATAAAGGGCAGCCCTGTGTGTGACATGTGTGGTTCTGCCACTTTCCCAACATAAT